ACAGTTGGATCTTAGGCTTGTGGTAACTCTGCTCAGGTTTTTTTTTTTTTTAACATTTTAATTTTAATTTTAGGTTCAGAAGTACATATGTAGGTTTTTATACAGGCAAACAAATTACTCAGGGTGTTGGTGTACAGATTACTTCGTCACTTAAGTACTAAGCATAGTACCGGGCATATTTTTCTGAATCTCTTCCTCCTCTCACCCTCCACCTTCAAGTAGACCTCAGTGTCTATTGTTCCCCTCTTTCTGTCCATGTGTCCCCATTATTTAGATCTAGCAATTTTACTACTGGGAATTTAACGAAAGGAATATAAATTTTTCTGTCATAAAGACACATGAATGCATATGTTCCTTGCAACACTATTTACAATAACAAAGACATGGAATCAACTTAAATGCCCATCAATGGTAGACTGAATAAATAAAATGTGGTACATGTACACTATGGAATACTATGAAGCCACAAAAAGGAATGAGATCTACTCAGCTTTATCTGTCAAAGAGACCCTATCTATTTTCTGGTTTTCTAGAATGTTGTCAAAATGCCTGATCTGATTATGACACTATTTCTTATTTATAGCACTGAAATGGAGTTATTCAATTTAAATATTCCGTACTGTCACATCCATAAGATCTTAAGAAGAAGACATCTGTCATTTTGAACTAGAAGATCCATTGATATTTTAAACTGATTAGTTTTGCATATAGCCACTGTTACCTTTGGGCTGGATTATTACAGTAACCTGCTAATGAATCCCTCTATTTCTCTGTATTTTCTCCTCTACAGTCTACAGTATGCTAATTATAGAGCAATGAGATTTCTTTTTAACAATAAATTACTTCTCAAAAACCCTCTTTGGACTTTCAACTCATTCAGATTAAAATCCAAGGCTCTTATAATTGCCTACAGAGTTCTACATGATATGGTCACCCATTATCTCTCTGACGTTACTCCTATCTTTACTCATTTTATTCCAGCCACACTGGTCTCCTTTCTGCTCCTGAAACATGCCGGGCATGGTTCCGCCTCAGGCCTCTTAACTTCTTGTTCTGATCACCTAGAATGTTCCTTTCTGATGTGGGTGCACAGGTTAATCTGTCACTTCCTTCAGATCTCAGCTCACACATGTCAAGTTATTAAACAGACTTTCACTAAACACTTTATTTAAAAATTCATCTCCCCCTGATATTTTATCCCCACTCTGTTTCAACTGATTTTCTCTATTCTCTTTCAACTAATTTATTTATTTACGTCGGTAACCATTTTACATCCTACACACTTGATAGTTCATCTGTTTATTGTCTGTCTCCTCAATGGACTGTAAGCCTTATGAGGACATGGTTTGCTTGTGTTGTTTGATGCATCATTTCTATCCAGCACCTAGAAGAGTGCTTGATATCTAGTAAGCATTCAACAAATATTTGCTGAATGAGTAAAGAAGTGAAAATAGAAAAGTCTTTGTTTTTAATATATTAATCCCCAAACTGAACATTTTACTACTATTTTATTGTTCCTTTTTTTTCAGTTGCTTCTTCTAGAATGTATCATTCTTACAGTCATATATCACCTTCAAATAAATATAACCCTTTTCCAGTATTTATATCTAATATTTTCTATCTTTTCTAATTGCTGAATCTGGAAATGTGTAACAACACTAAATACTGGTGGTGATTTTAGGAGTTCTTGTTTTGTTTCTTACCTTCACAGGATTTTCTTTAATGTTGAAGATTCGGGTTGAAGTTTAAAACACAAAACACACATATACACGAGCACACACATACACACACTTACCATATGAAGAATATTTTTTCACATAATTTACTAAGAATTTTACCAAAACAATAGTAGAGTTTGGTTAAATCGTTTATTATAATTTAGTGATATGAGCATGTGAGTCTTCTCATTTGACTTACTATAAATACATTGCAATACTAGATTTTTCAATAGTGAAGTCTCCTTAAATTCAATGAACTAGCTTTATGTTGCCATAGTATTTGGTGAACTAATGGATTTGATGAACTAATGTGTCCAACTAATGGATTTGGTAAACTAACGGATTACATTCGTTTTTAAAGGATAAGTGGTATCGATTTACATGTCAAATCAGTCTCTTTTTATTTTCTGTGATTTTACTCAAATTTGTTAATATTTTGCTGGCCTACTATAAAAAAAGAATAAATTATTTTCTCTTTATGCTGTGAAGCATCTCAAAGGTGGATATTCCTTGACAATGTGAAATATTTTACATATGAAACCATCAAATCTGTGTGTCTATTATCTGTTTATGTATGTGATATTTTTGCATGAAAAGATAGACCTTAAAAAACTAACATTTTTATTTCTAGAGTTAATGGTCTGGTCTGGTTCCTTATTTCTTATTGAAAAGTTTAGTTATTTGTATTTTCTGATGATTTTTTCACTCATATTTTACATTTACCTGTCTAATAAAGAAATCTGGGCCTGTAATTATTTCTTCTGTCTCACTTCTAGTAATTTGCATTTGTGCTATTTATTATAATGCTAAGGAAAGGAGTATTCTCCTCTGGACATCTCCTTTGCTTTTTTCAAGACAGGGAACATTGGCAGAGACCTACACTTGTGGCATTGAGGTAAGAACTTAAACAAGAACTAGCAGCAGCTGGTGATGTGGTGATATTCCACCCCTGTGAGGCTGTCAGGAACGCTAGTGCTAGCTGGGTGTTGGGAATACTGGGTACATCTCAGAGTAGGAGAATAAGTGGTCCAGAAATGACTACCTCTGGAACCCTGCTTTGTGAGCCAGGTCTGACTTTTCATTGTCCAAGAAGAGACAGCAGTTGAGCAATTCAAAAGCCTAATTAGTGGACCAATTTGAACAGTCTTAAGGAGTCCTAGGTAAATACTTAGGAAGATTATCTGTGAGAAAAGTTGCCCTTTATGGCTTTTAGGTGGAGACTCAAAATCTTTATGATTTTAGTATTAAAAAATGTATTGTTGTCTCATGCTAAGGTCACAGCATTTGTGTAGAATAAGTTTCTATCATCCTATACCATTTTCTTCCCCATCCAGCTTTTTTCTTAACTTCCATTTATTTATGTGTTTTTGTTTGTTTGTTTTTTGTTTAGTGAGAAAGGGTTCTCACTCTGTTGCCTAGGCTGGAGGAGTAAGTGGCATGATCTCCACTCACTGCAACTTTGACCTCCGGGGCTCAAGTGATCCTCCCACTTCAGCCTCCTGAGAAGCTGGGACTACAGGAGTGTGCCACCACCTCGGCTAATTTTTATATTTGCTGTAGAGATGGTGATTCCCCATTTTGCCCAGGCTGCTCTGGAACTCCTGGGCTCAAGCAATCTGCCTACCTTAGTCTCCCAAAGTGCTAGGATTACAGGCTTGAGTGACTGAGCCAGGCTTTGTCTCTTTTTATTGTTTTAAAGATCCTTCATATGTTTTCTGTTCTACTTTCCTCTGAAAGGACAAGATTCGTAGTGTTTCACAGCACTCACCTTCCCAGAAGTGAGAAATTTCATCCTGGGGTACACAGCCAAATCTTCCCTGGTTTACGTTCTCCTGATGTCACAGAGGCACGTCCAATTCAATAAGTCCCAAATTAAACTGATCATTCTCCCCCATCCTATCTATACCTATTTTCTTTATTTTTATTTATTGTCACTATTCATTCATATTCAATCGGAGCCTGAGAGTCCACCTAAATTTTTTGGTTTTCCTCATCCTTCACGTGAAATACTGTTTCTTCATTTTATTTTCCCTCATTGTTTTGAATAACTTTCTCCCTTTCCATACCCACCCCACTATCCTAGTTTAGACTTTCACGGTCTCCTTCTTGGATTTTCTTCAGTGACATCTTATACTTTGGATATAAGTTAAACCAGCATGCAATAGACCAGGAAAACCTACTAGTTCCAGCTAAGTATCTAAGGAAAGTAGCTGTGTGTAATCCATCTCCAGATATACAAGTCTGAACTGTGGGTACTCTCTTCCTTTAGTGTGGCAGCATTTCTATTTCTTGCCCTCATTTTCTCATTTTCTTGTTCTTTGTTTCAGAACCTACTTGGTACTCTGACAAATCAAATTAAATCAGCCACAGGGGCTTAGAAAAAAAGGACCAAGATGAAGTAGATATAAGATTGGCAAAGAGCACAGAGTTTGGTGACACACTGTTGGCAGGGGTGTGGTAAAGCATGTGTGCATCCATTACTTGTAGGAGGTTATGGTGGTGGGAACTCTTTGGAAGGTGGCTTAGCGATGGCTATTAATACAAAATGAACTTACTCATTGACCCAGGAATTCCATTTCTAGGAATTATCCTGCAGATATATTTACGCTTGTACACAAAGATGTATACACTTAAGTAATCACCGCAGAAGAGTTTACAGTAACAGAAAACCAGAACCAACATAAATGATCATCAAAGGTGTAATGAAGAAATCAAGTGTATTCCAATCACACAATAGAACAGTATGCAGTAAAATTAAGTAGATACGTATAAGAAAAAATCTCTGAGATCTTGTGATTAAAAAGGCACAGATATGTACAGTACATTATTGTTTGTATAGAAATTGCAAACACACATACATATGTTCATATATATATATATATATATATACTAAATCTAAATGTGTATTCACAAAAAAATATACTGGTGCTAATCTATGGGCAATAAACTAGTGACCCTGGGGTGTGAGATTTACTTTTAACTGTATACTTTTTATACAGTATGTTTTTTTGATCATGTGCTTGTATTAAAATTATTCTAAATAGGCATAAAACAAAACACAAATAAAGACCAAGTGGTAAGTCTTAATATAGGTAGTTCAACATATGAGAAATAGCTGCACATATAAAATGATGTACATCTATGCCTTCTCCTCACATGGGAACTAACGTATGCAAACAGATATTCAAATATATTGTATATGTAAGTAGTTGTAAGTACATGTATATTGGTATAAATTAAAAATGGTTTGTTCAGTCATCTTAAAAAAACACCTAGCCATCCTAATTTACACCAAGTATATTTTCATAATGTATTCCAGATGTTATTTTGTAATCTTTTAACTTATAACCATAAGTTTCATTTTCAAAAAGAGATGTACAAAATAATGTCTACATAGCTGATGCTTCAGATTCAGCCTCTGTCCTGGAAAGTTTTGACTTTGATAAATATGTTCCCAGAAAGACAAATAGAAAATAAAGCATATATTTAAGCATTAAGAACTTAAGTCTCCCAGTTAATTGCTAAGATGCTGAACATATTTTATTTATTTTTCCGCAATACATCACATACTGGATCCAGAATTATCCATGTATACAGTAATAAAAAATCAACAACACCTACTCTCAGCACAACTGCCACAACTGGCTTTTCACTGCAAATAGCTACCTGAATTTAAAGAGTTCCCCCCCACCCCACCCCATACCTCCCTGATTGCCCTACTACATATATAGATCAATATTGAATATTTCTGAAAATCTGTAGCATAGAAAAGCAGGCCACAATACACTGGCTTTAAACAAGAATACTGAGGGCCTGAGGATAGTGATGGTAAAGTTTTACTGAATAACCCAAATTATTGATTAATAGTATGAACAATATTGTAAGATTTCTGACTAAGAGAACATATTTTTAAAGCATTTTACACATCAACAATATACAAGCAACAGACATTGAGTTTCCAACATCCAAATGAATCACACCCTAAAATGGTGTGTGCCACACTCTAGAATGGTGGCAATCTAGAACCTGAACTGTATTTTCTAATTAGAGTAAGGCTATAAATGATGGGTAGTTCCTCAGAACAGCCCCAAAGATGCTTTGTAGCACACATTTCCCCAAAACACCATACATCTAACATGTGTACAAGATCTGAATACTATTGCAATATTAATCAAACTAACGCACTGAATAGTAGTGAAGACTATGACTGCATCAGCCTAAAGAAGGAGGCTACGTGAATCTGTTAAAGACAGAACACAATTAAGGTTCAGTGAAAACTCTTTGAATGAGAAGGCAAAAATATACTGCTGTTGGGAAACGTGAATGAGAGTTTTAAAGCCAAAGTTTTGACTGTCCAAAGGACCACTTGTGCTCTCTCACACCCACTGCATTGTTCCAGTTCTCTCTTTCTCTTTCTTTCTCTGCCTAATACACGAGGCACACGTAAGTTGGACTGGTTCCACCTGGAAGACAAAAGCCACACAAAATTAAAAGCACAAATGCAGCATGAAGAAGGAAAGTGAGGCAGAACCGAAAGGTAAACCTGTGCACTTTGAGAACAAGGCGTCCATCCTTAGCTCCAGAGGCCGGCGTAGTTCCCATGGAGGCCTGAAGGGAGAGGTCCCCCAGCTACAAAGAGTTTCATCTCGGGCCAGTTGTAGCAGTGGGTGTACAGCGCACTGGGCAACTCTTCCATGCCACCAAAGTAATTCACCCAGAAATCATCGTGGTTGAGCCAGCCTCTGCCACAGTCGAGCTTGAGCTTCTTCCCTGCAGGTTCCGGAGTGGAGTCGAGGCTCGTGGAAGCTCTCTCCTCCAGGAACTTCTGGGCGCGGATGTCATAGAAGAGCAGGGAGCCATGGCCGGTGCCCACAGTGATCAGATGGCGGTAGAAGCTCAGCGACCGCACGCCCGTGCCACCCTCTCGAGAGCACAGGGGCCGGATGTTGTGCTGGCGCTGGCGTGGATCCAGGAAGGACACGTGGGACTGAGATCCCACAGCGTACACGGACAATTCATCGCAGTAGGTCAGGCATACATTCTCTCGGCAGTAGGGCAGCCTGATGGACAGCAGCCTGGATAGTGTGCTCCGGGCTTTCCACAGGTGGAAGTAGCCATCCAAGGACACCGCTCCCAGCTCCTGGTTTTTGCCGCTGAAGGCCAGGGCCCGCACCTTGCGGTTGCCCGGGTTGGTGCTGACCCTGGGGATGGTTTGCACATCCCTAGGACGAATGTGGGCATATATGGGGAGACCCACCTCACTGTGCCAGGCAATGCTGCCATGGAACATGTCCGGGTCCATCCGCCACAGCGCCACGGTGCCGTCGCGGGAGCCGCTCACAGCCACGGTGTCACTCAGCCAGGCGATGGCAAAGATCCAGTCCTTGTGGCCATGGCGGTCGCCCAGGCACAGGGGATCCAGGGTGGGCAGCCGGTAGATGGCCAGGCTGTTGGGGTTTTCGCCGCCAGTGGCTAGAAGCGTCTTGGAGGGATTCAGCTCGATGGCATGGATGCCGCAGCCATGATGGGCCGGGGCCAGGCCGGCATCCTTGTCCCGCATGAGGGGGATGCGTGTGATGTGGCCCGACTGCACGTCCACCACGAAGAACGTGTTACACTTGGTGCCGCACACCACCTGCCTGGAGTTCAGCCACTGAGACGCGAACACCTTGTTGAGGGTGCCCAGGTCTAGCTGGCGCTCCGTCAGCAGCTCGGGCAGCCTCTGTACCGCGTAGCCCCGCAGCTCGCTCTCGAAGCCCTGGAGCCCCGCTGCGCCCCGGGCGCCTACCTCCCGGCCCTTCAGATAGTGCACCAGCCAGCGACGCGTCGCCGGCCGCCTCTGCTTCTTAGGTAGTAGCGGCCCCTCTCCGTCCGCCGCCGCCAAGCCCTGCGACGAGGAGCTCCCGGCGCCGGCCTCGATAGCCGGCGCTTTCCGTTTCCTGCTACCTGTTTGCTGCTGGGCC